ATATTCATTGTTTCGTTGAAGTGTACTTCTTCATGTATTGATGCAGAGTATGCGTGACTTGAAGCGTGAAACACCTCTCGGTCTCGCATTTCGCGAGGCGGCATGACGAAACGTATGTGCCTGCAGCCGACCTTCATGTATATAGTTCTCGTGAAATCCTGGTTCATGAAGCATCTCGTGCATCGGCTCGGCGTTTCCACTTGACGAGGGCAGTCATCTCGATATTGTGTAGAAAAATTGGGTCCCTGTCAGATAACGTGATACATGAAGCTATAAGGTGCGTTTTATTGGCAAGCGTTTTGGCGCTCGTTGTTCGAGCGTGTTGCGCAAACGCACGAGTTGTGTCTGCTCATCGTTTTTTTTTTTTTTAGGGGCGAAGCTTCTTATAGCGGCACCCGTTCGTCCCTCATAGTCGTAGTCGTAGTCGTAGTCGTAGTGTGTCGCCAGTCTTACGTTTTGACCTGCAAGGTGGGGCCGGTGGGAGATTTATCCTGTGCGTTGTTGAACAATAAAAAAATTCGTAGCGTGCGCGTTAACTAAAAACCGGATTCTGCTGTCTCTCATTCCACATTAGCAGTCATTGGCATGTACATTGAGCCCTATCTGACAAGAAAGGGTTGCTACGTTATACTCGCTGGGCGTAACCTCCTTGGTTTTAGAAAGGTTTAGCGAGCGTTGAGCCGCAGTGCCATGAATATATGATGAAAAGATGCGAGATGGTGGTACTTGGAGTGTTGAATAGATGGACGAACGGACACACTGACAGATGCATGGAAGGACTCACGGATGGCTGCACCGACGGATGGACGCATGAACGGACGCAGGGGCGGATGCATGAACGAACGCAGGGACGGACGCACAGATGGACATGCGGACGCACGAACAGACGCACGCAAGGACGCATGGACGGTCACACTGACGGACGCATGGACGGACGGAAGCAAGAACGAATGGACGGACGGATGCTTCGCCCCACTCTCCAGCATTCATGCTGCCATTTTTTTTTTCTATTTTCACTTTCACTGCTTGGTGCCTGACCACCTTCGGGAATGAGCCCTTTGCGTAATGCCGACTGGTTGTCCCTGTCGGTTTCATCGTGGGAGACGCCCGCTACGCGCTATAAGCACGTCCTGCAGGACAAAAATAAAGCTTTCCCATTCCATTTCATTCATCAAGAGAAAATATATTTCAGGAAACAAACGTACTAAACAGCTATGGCGCGAAATACCTCCTCTTGGCGTCAATTTCATGTCGTACGCGCATGACAGAAAGTGCTCGCATACATGAGCAGTGTAAAAAAAGAATTTATTTACCACTAAAGATATCCTCTTCTCATCTAACTAGTTCTACAGTTTCAATTAAAATCGACCAATATCATAAGCTCCACTGTAGTGCACGTAGTTGCCCATAGATAGATTGCACGAAGGCACGCAGATTGCATAGGTAAGGCGAGCACCCCTCCCCTTTCCCGCGTCATCTCCCCTTCTATCTTTTTCCTGTTCGAGGCAAGCGTATGAACAATCTCACAGCGCTCTGTCGCAGTTACTAATAACGGAAAAACACCGAGGTGGAGCTACTTATAGCAGCGGGCACGCGTATGGAGTTGGGGAGTAATTCTTTTTGTAAGCATGGAGGATACGTCAGCTGCTCGTGCCGGTATAGGGGATTGGGGGAAAGGTAAGGGTAGGTGTGCAGATGCTCCGCTTTTCTCGTTTTGTTAACACAAGAGAAGCCGAAGCTATAAAGGAGGAAGGCCGAGGGAAGTGAGGGGGACGATACAGATTGGCGGCACGAGCAGCCCCTGCGAAAAGGGAAGGCGAAGGCAGCTGTTCTTGAGCGAGTGTTCGGCCCGCACGCGCCAAGCACGTGCCACCGAAAGCGCATCCACCCGTTCAAGGACCCCGGGTTCAAAGAGACGACCCCACCGGATGCGTTATGCCCCCCCTCGGAGCTACTATCCGACCTGGCTGTGGTTTCGGTTGGAACCCGCGTTTGCCTTGCGCGCGCCGTTCGGACGTTGGCTTTTGTATACCTGTGTGTGTGTGCTTTTATAGCACGTCTCTTTGCATGTGCGGGCATGTGAGTCCGGGTGCGGGTTTTGGGGCACATGCAAAAGGAGGCGATAGACAGGGATTATGTCGCTTTCGCATTTCGAAACCAACCTCTAGCGCAGTCGTTCTTAAAAATTACCAAAAAATGAAAAAAATACAACTTACTTGCGTGAACCCTCTACATATGCGCTATTAGTTAAGATTTACGTTTCATGCCTCTGTTGTCGGCACCTTAGAGCTTTGAAAAGAGGATGAAATAATATGAAGGGAGCAACGCTTGTCACCCGTCAACAGCCGATGCCGTGCAGGATTTTCGGGAACGCGAGGCGTGAAATGTCGGTGTCTTCGATGTCTAAGCATATGTTGTCATACATGAACATGTCTTTATAGTTATTTTCGAGGCCAATACTGAGACGTTTTCGCCGGCACGAAGCCACGCGAACGCAACGAATGCATTCGTAACTTATAGAAGTGTGGCAGCTTGGGCTAGTTGGTATGGCATGACGATAGTTACAGCGCGAGAACAGAACGACGACGCACAGACAAGAAGAACACGAAGAACAAGTTAGCACTCGTGTCCTTCTTGTCTCTGTGTCGTCGTTCTGTTCTCGCGCTTAACTATCGTTATCGAAATGCATTCGCTCGCGAGTACGATTTTCTTCGAGACGCTCTCGCTGTGTACGAAACAGCTAACTCTGATTATATAGTCTGAATGCTTCGAATATATGCATCGTCATGCATTCTTTCAACATTCGGCTATTTCGTCATGTAGATGAGCATAATAGACAGTTTCTGTGACAATTTTTTCTATCCTTTTGAACTTCTGTCCGTGCATCTGCCTGCCTGCGCGCATATCCCTGAAGGTAATGCGTCTCAGTATGTGAAAGCTAGAGAACGGGAGAGAAAAGGATGAAAGGTGGATAGAAAGACATCGTTATGAGCTACAAAGAGAAAATGAATTGTGAAAAGCTAGCTGGTTTCAAAACTACAAAATGAAAGGCTTCCCGAGGCGTGCATTGTGAACAACAAACAGACAAATAAACAAAAAAAACACATATAGTTCGAAAAGTACGCGCTATTGAGCGGCGGAAGGGGGCCCGGTCTGGCTGGACAAGAAGCACTCGTGTCCAGGCCTCTGCGATGGCAGGCGTCGTCGCCCACATGCTGGGGGTCTAATGACGGCCATACAACCCTGCATGCATGCCGCACAGGACCATCGCATCATGCGAAAGCCATTGAGCTCCACCGGTGCTGCTGCCGGGACCATCGTTTTAATGTGACAATGCAGAATGGCCGAGCCACCGCCCGTCGCTACGTGAGATGTCCCTCTCCATTTCGTCTTCGGTTCGCACTCGCTTCAAATCGCGCACCAGCCACCATTTCTCGTGAGAGGCACGCACTCTCTCTCTCTCTCTCTCTCTCTCTCTCTCTCTCTCTCTCTCTCTCTCTCTCTCTCTCTCTCTCTCTCTCTCTGTCTCTCTCTCTCTCTCTCTCTCCCTCTCTTTCTTTCTCACACACATACACACGAGAGAGAGAGAGATAGATAGATAGATAGAGAGAGAGAGAGAGAGAGAGATGAGAGAGAGAGAGAGAGAGATGGGAAGCACTAAGAAGGAACCATACGGTACATACGCGTGCATTCGTGTAGTGAATTACGACTGCTGCGAGGCCATTGTCTGCACGCCCTGCACTAGTGTTGGCCGGTAGCGACTTGCTATGCATCTGAGGACGATGAAGATGACGATGGGTCTTGAGAGTAGTCGTATACAGTGTACGAAGCATGTGGAGAGGCCCTAGTCAAATGTGTCGGAAAAGAATACCAAGACGAGTTTCTTTGTGTTTCGTTGACTGTAGACACGGAGTTCTCTCGGGGCACCACCCCGCACTGTCCCCCTTGCCTAAAGGGTTCTAACGATCGGGCTTCTCAATCGCCACTCTGTCACGCGGGACGCAAATGACTCGCGCACCACACAGGCGCAGCATTGAGTGCTTGAACACGTCTTGAAGGAGCAGGGCATTGTGCAGATTGAACGCGCTACGGTCCATAGAGACTGATGAACATTTTTGCCTCGAGAGCCTAGCTCTTTCGGAGCCTGAAGACTTTGATACAGATAAGGGAATGAACTTTGGAAGAGCGGCTGTCTTTTTCACTAGAGGAGATGGTAGCACAAGGTTTCCGAAAGATCAGGCTGTTAAGACTCTGTGAAACTGCCGATGTCGAATTAAAGGAAATTTGAGTTTTCGCTATTTAATTATTCCTTGAGTCGAAGGTATTGCACGCCCCTGGCATTTCTCGTGGAGTGGCTGAGCAACAGATTTAGAGGACTAAACGAAAACATACACTGGCAGTGATCCTTTACCAACTGTGTTGCTAATGTAAGGGTGAAAGAATGATGCAGTGAGAAATGACACCTCTTAACAGCAAGGATTAATGGCTCGTTGAATTCTTTTCTTCAGTTATTAATGGACATGGGTGTCCTTTTAACAAAAAAGCAGGTATATTTATGTTAAGCGTGAGTCGTGAAATATGAGTCTGCTGATTCATTGTGGCTACAGAATGTACTGCTGGGTATCAGAGTTTCGAAATTTGAAATAAGCAACGGGTCTTGAGATTCTTCATCAAATGTTCGCGAAATGCTGATAAAGAAATAGAGGGTATCACCTGTTTTCACGACAACATGTTTACAAAAAAAAATATTTCTGTTGTACATCTGGGCAGCGAGACGTAGCTTCCCACACAGTGAACATGCAGCGGCGGTCGTCCCGATGTCAAAAATGGGCGCGCGAAAACCGCGGGAGAACTTAAACTGTTGTTATTGGCCAAAACTGTTGCACGTGACCACGTTCAACCAATCGCGTTTTTGCTCTAGGGGGCGGAGCACGGACACCGCGCGCGCACTTGGGCGAGCGCGCGAGCAGACGCTCCCCGCGATACACGCTCGGCGAGAGCCATCAGTGTAGGTAGTTTCTCCGCTATGGCGTCAGCACTTCGAGTGAGGATTTCGCTTTCGGAGTTGTGCTCCCGACAACGTGCGTTGAAGTCACAGTGCAACCCGTCCTGCGTCGTCTAAACGGCGCTGCGAAAGCGTGACAGTTTTATAGCGTTACTGAGGCCTTTCCGTAGCAGTGCGCTGATCCGCCTCCTGTGTTGTCGTCTGCTACACCCTTCCAGAGGGTGTCGACTGAGTAGCGCTTTCGTCCCTGTTTGCAATAGTGGTAGAGATTCCAAAGAGCAAACATCATTTGTGAAGCGACAAAGTGTGGCCTGCTGTGTGTTTTGAGACCTCTCCCATGAGTGCAACGGACGCGTAGAAACTTTTCCTTGCCGAAACGTCCCGTGTTTCGCGCGGAGTGAACTCGGCGGACCGGCGGCGGCATGGGTAAACGCCCGCGCTCGGCGATCGCCACGGCGGTGCCCTCTGCGCATGCGCCAGCGCGGGGGCCCAAGATGGCCGGCCACCTGGCCGCCCTGACTGCCGACGGTGGAATACCGCTACTAACGCGGAAGATAGGAGACGTCAAACCGGTGAGTGATGTCTGATCAATCGACAATTATGCTGTTGACTAACGGTTGATGTAGGCTGTGGGTTTGTACGAGGTCTGCTTACCTGGCGAAAGCGCCAAAACGCCGACGGGTACGTCGACTTGTTGCTCTACGGGATGGTGGCGTTTCCTCCGTCTTTCCAGGTAGCGCTGGCGCTTTTCTTTTACTGAGTACAATCGCATTCCTTAACCAACCGATTTTTCAGCTCGCCACTATCGGCTGAACTGGCTTTCAGTTCCGTAACTTGAACGACTGCCTGTCAACGACGTCATTGAAATGTCATTTCGCAACAAGTCACGCGTACGTCGGCTTCGCTTCGGCCAGGTAGTGGATTTCTGTACAGGTGCACAACCCGGTGTCATGAACCACAGTCTCTTCGTGAGTCATCTCGGGATTATTGAGGGTACTTGTAACCGCACTGAGATCGCGTTGCATGCTTTTATGCGGTGCAAGACAGCATTGCAGCTCGTTGGAAACGTCACGGCTGTCTGACACACGTGTTCGTTCGTGCATTTTCGCAATGCCGACGACAATCGCAACCGAAACCTGTTGTTAAATGCAACTTGCATGTAAACTTATCCAAAGTGATTTAGTGTCGCCTATTTCACATTTACGGCAGGCTCGCTGCAATGCTCCAGTCACTTTTATGGAAGCGAAGCGAACTGGCTCGTTTTCGCTCACCCAAAAGAGCATTATTGAGTATGCGTAAACAAAACAGTTCGGTGCAGCAGAGGTGCATACTACACTCCGACTCGCACGCGAATGCCCTCTCATCAAGGAATAAGCATGTTTAAGCGGTGACACTCCTGGCTTCCTTAAAAACTTTACTTGTATTCTGATCTTTCTCACATCACACGCCGAGACGTATTCACAAGCTCTACACGTTCAAGTTTTGTCTATTGTCGAGTAAAGCTCAATGTTCACGTTGTGTGCATCGTAGAAGCTGCTGAACACGGAAAGAGTGGCGAAAATATGCGAGAACAAAGGAACGCACACTGCGTGAATACTAAGTGCGCTGTACACGTCTGTCCCCCCGAGGGCGCCCGTCCACGAGAAACTTTTATTCTGCATTCAAGGAAAGTGGCTTTGTATATGCCACCCGCGACACCAGGAAAGACCGTACGCTTCGAAACGTAAACATGACATGTATGATCTCAAGCGGCGTCGACTTTCGGGACGAAAGAGAGGCGTTTGTGCGAAGGCAGCGTAATAAACGTGTTTACGCTCACCACATGTCTTCGCTGGAAACTTTTGAGCACTTCTCTCGAGACCGCATGCGCACAATGGGGGCAGAATGCGTCCCCCCTCCTCTCCACCAATGATGGGGGTAGTTTGCCCCCCCTACATTCACTTAATTTGACCTGTCCCGCCATTGTTTAACCTGCTAGAACGAATGAAGGGAATTTCTTTCTGGGGGTCCGTTTCACTGTTTGGGTTAGGTCGTATAGTTAGACAGCGTTCATTCGATAATGGCGGCCGTGGGCGAAGACCTCCTGATGTTGCATTGCAAAAAAGTGTTTATTGCCACTTTTACTCCCGGAAAAGCCGCGGAAACTATAAGGGCAGAACGTTTTGATAAGCACAGCATCGCTTACTTTTTTTTTTCTTCATTTTTGTGCCCGTTTCGAAGCCTGTTTTCTTTTGCATTCGACGCAACGGGCAAGGCTCTGAACCCCACGCACGGCTATATGCCCGGAACGTTCGTTTATTTTGACAGCGGCGCTCTTCAAGCAGCTGTGCCTCGCAGTTGGCCTCTTTCAAGGAACTGTTTACTCGTGTTAGCGCACTAACGACGCCGCTGCCTTCAACGAGCGTGCATAAAGCTTGTGTATATACGTTTCGTGTGTATATACAAACCGCACGTGTCGTTCGCGCTCGTGCGAGAACGCTATGGGGGGTCCTTGCGCTAAGCAGGAGGTCGTTCCTCACAGACCGCGCGTCTCCGGGAAGAACATCGACGAGGCCCAATGGTTTGGCACTGCCAGCTGTTTATCGTTCTTCGGATGAAATTGCGTCGCTCTATATGCTAGACGCGATTGAGATGAACATGGAAAACGTGGACCTGTAATGTATATACAGCCGCGGTCACGTCTCTGTATAGAGCACGCAAGCAGCCGGTTTTTTGCTCTGTGAGGTGAAACCTTGAGGCAGTATCAGGCTCTGATGTGGTCAGCCTCACATATATAGGACACGAATTCTCCTGATACACCGCTTCTGAGCCCGAAACTGTCTCAAGGTTTCACCCCACAGAGCAAAAACCGGCTGCCCCTGCGTGCTTTACACAGACGTCGTCGTGGCTGTATACTTGTCAAATTAAGTATCGTAAACGAGATCTCGTTCCCGAAGCAATATTTTTATCAGAGCACTCACTTTAGGCGGAAAATTATAGGTTGTTGATGGCGTAGGTACGTTTCACTGTATGCAATTTTTAACGCAATTTTTTTTCACTCTGATATGAAATAATCATAAATAGAAGTGAAGAAAACCGGTACTACAGACTACCAAAGAAAAAAAAAAAAGAAGGGCCATGAGTGCGAACGCAAGATTGGTGTAAGAAACAATTCAGAGGCTATATAGAAAATAAATATGCAGCGTCATTTTGTCACCGTACGCTTATCTACATCACTGTACTGCAGAAAAGAAGCAAGGAAGAAATGGAAATGTGCAATCCGATGTGAGTGCAGCGCCCATTCCCAACCTTGGATACTATCTTGTTATGTTCTGCCCATCCCTTTAACCAAGAGCGCAGCAGCCTTTATGGATAGCTAACGGCGAAACTCGAACGCCTCAGACATCGCATGTCGCTGACCGTGGCCCGCGTCATACGATTAACAGCTCCGTCTCGCTAATCGCTAACTTTTACGGCGCTAAACGAGTAGACTATATAGATAATCGTTGTAGAGATACTTTGTCGCATGACATGCACTGTCACTATACGCTGCGAACTTTTCAGGCTCGCCTGCATGCATTCCTAAATAAGATTAAAGATTGCGGAGGCACGATTTGAGTCCCCTTCAGTGGCCGTGTATAATGACGCTATTTACGCATACGCTTTTGAGTGTTGACAAGTTATAGCAAATAAAGAGCAATATACATTGAGCTTTCGGTAAAAACAGCCACTTCCATGTCCAGTTTCATTAGTTTGATCGGCAGTGTGCATATTGTAAGTGATTGCTTTGCCAAAGACACTATGCCAAGTTTGATGGCATTTTCGATGTGCTACTGACAAAATAAATCGTGAAAAAAAAAAGAGTTCTTCTCGTAACGCTGGCAGCTGACAAATATCTCTTGCGTGTATGTCGAGTGGGTGATGTAGTTGTGCTTATGATGTGCATAAATATGTACTGAATTATGCTTTAATTATCATTGCCTGCAAATATGTAGAAAGCCATTAAAGTGTTATAAACGTTATTTCTTATAATTTATAAATAATCATGAGAGCCGGGCTGTCACCACTAATACGAAAATAAAAACGAAGAGAAGTGAGAAAGCAGCCAGAATAGAAAAAAAAAAAAACATAATCACAGGCTCTATGAGCGCATGCTTTGTTGCAATTGAGTGCCCAACGCCTTGTCGTAATTTTATTGGAAGTTCGACGCATTCATCTACAGCTTACCGTGAATCGCGCTTGAAGGGTGAATTTACGCCAATCTTGTAGGATGTAGCTAATGAAGAGTCATTAGTGGTCTCCGTACGCGATTTCTGTCCTTGTTTACTGAACAGTTTGACTCTGTAAACTCGTAATGATGTTCATATATGAGCGTCAGTGAGTTTGATGCGCTACTTCGATTAATACGTGGCGTTTAAGGTCTCAAAACCACCATACGATTAAGAGAGACGCCGTAGTGGAGGGCTCCGAAAATTTTGACCCCGTGGGATTCTTCGCCGTGTGCCCAAATCTGAGCACACGGGCCTATACAGCATTTTCGCCTCCATCGAAAATGCAGCCGCCGCAGCCGGTATTCCATCCCGCGACCTGCGGGTCAGCAGCCGAATACCTTATTATTTATTTATTTATTTCAGAAGTACTGCCAGCGTCACACATGAGGCCTTAGGCAGGGGTGGGTGATACAAAAAAGGAAACAAATATGCAGATACAACAGGAAAGGAAACACGTCACATAGAGCTACACCATCAAGAACTAGTGCATCAAAGTAAAACGCCAGTACTTACACAATTGTTGTGGTTTACGCGTACACGTACAAAAAAAAAACTATGATGACAAACATCTGCTCGTACAGAACTAAGAAACAAACATCATATAACGGTTCAAAAATGGGCAACATTTCAAAAATACAACGCATTGATATGAAAAAAAGTGATAGAAAGTGGAACATAAATGGAAGCCTGTTCAGGATGTGCGGTGGGATAATAGAGGGCGAAGCGCAAAGAAAGATCAAAGTCAAGTGGGTTACCGGTGTTTTAAGTTTTTCCACTACACGCACCGCGGCGGGGCGATGCGTTACTTCACAGCGTTGGTTTGGAGGGGATTTTAGTGACGTGAACCACTGTTGACAGTTATATATAGCTGTGAGCACAGCTTGGACGTCACCTGCCGCTAGACGTCGCAATAACAAACTCGAAAGGTCGCGTGAGCTCCTGTGTATCGCGTGAAAGGATCTCGAAGCATCGCCGTGCACTTTCCAGGATTCCCATCCGGACACTCCCTGCGAGCCGAGCACGCGAATACTGTGGGAGAGAGTGGCCCTCGACCCCTGTGGTGTCTTCTCGCGGATTCTACATAACCGCCGCCCACGACTACGCGGGCACTTGATTGCTTGTCTTTCTTTATTTCTCGATCCGTCCTACTTTTTTGTTGTTGTTGCTTTCGCCCATAGGAAATGTTTATCTCGGAATCTGGACTCTGGAAGGGCGCTGGGCAAAGCTTATGAGAGAGAGAGAGAGAGAGAGAGAGAGATAAAGATGCAAGGAAAGGCAGGGAGGTTAACCAGATGCGCATCCGGTTTGCTACCCTGCACGGG